CCAACCCATCTAAGAATGGCTGGGCAAAGCCCCCTGCCCGTGCAGGTGCCAGAACAGGCTGGCTTCCTTTGCTCTCTCACTTGCTTGGCTAGTGGCTTCCAGGGTGTTTCCAAAGCAAAATGAAGGGTCAAACCAAAGAGCAGGTAGCTGGCAGGTTCGGTTTTCCTCTATGTCAATCTGGATCTGGCTTGACCTCTGGGTTCCCTGGCACCGCAAAGGCTGCCTAAGACCTCTTTCATCGGAGGACTGCAGGTGGCTCTCAGGCTGACAATTTTCTTTAGGCCTTCCTCGCTTTCACTTTGTTATTACTTCCCGGTCCCTTGGTCTTCACTTTTTTTTTCCAGTACTGTTTTACTTCATCTCCCTCTTTATTACTTACTTATTAAAGTTTCACTCCCCCTGCCACTAATTCCTGGCTTCCTCCCTAAGCACTTTGAAAATGGGAGGTGAATTTATATCTGTGAGAAGCATGCTGAAGGGTGAGTCTTGAAAGCATGCCCGCTGCCTCTCGCACCGGGTTCCACAGGCAGAACCAGCTCTCTATTCTTGGTGCTAATTCTCACCAGTCAAACAGTAAGCCGTCCCTTGAAGGAATGGTTGTTCTAGGGATCCACACAAGGGCAGGATTTAGATCCACAAACAAAATCAGTGAATGGTCAATGTCGGCACTTGAGCCACGCTTTCTTAAATATCCAGACTGGGGTTCAGGTGGCTAGGCATTCTTTCCCCTTTCCAGTTAGAAATCAGGTTACTTTCCCCAGACCAGGGAAATCCTAAACAGATGCAGTTGTATGGATGTAGGACCAGAATAAGGTTGTTTCGCCTGAGAAAGCATCCAAACTAGACTCCAAAGATCTTAGGATATCCAGATGTTTTCCATTTGTTCCTTTCTAGTTCACCTATTCCCTTTGTCACTCTTTCTGCTGTTGGCCAAAAGCGAGGGGCCCAAGCTACACAACAGTGCTCCTTGCCCTACGCTTCCTGCTGGATTCGGACCCTGGGGAGCACTGGCGAATCAGAGGAGAGAGGTGTGGAGGTCAAGGAGGCCAGGTGTCTATTCGGCTGGCTCCCCCACCCTTTGGGTCACTCTTCTGTGGGAATATCCGCCTACCTACTCAGTGCCCTGTCTCATGCCCTTTGTCTCCAGCTCAGTCACTTTCTGTCC